CGGCCAGTTCGGGAGCACGTACAGATCGCCACACGCTGTCCTCCTGGAGTAAAGGTGTCAACCCATACATCCTGAAGGACGGCGTTGCTCACCAAGTTCGTAGAGAACGAGGGGAGGTGAAGACCTGATAGTGAGCCAGACGGAACCGCCGGACACGGGAGAACAGTGGAGGAACGTGCAAGGACTGGGCCCCCAGAGGGGTCAGCCAGAGAGACAGCAACAGGTGTAGGGAGCGGTGTGAGTGCGGTACTGTCGCGAAAGAAGCAGCGGGAAGCATCTGAGTCAAGCGTGAAGGTGTGCAAGGCCTCTGCAGGCGCAGTACCAGAGAGAGCAGACTCAGTAGCACCTAGAGCAGCAGCCTCACCAGCACCTAGGGCAGCAGGCTCACCAGCACCTAGAGCAGCAGCCTCACCAGCACCTAGAGCAGCAGACTCTATACCTGGGTCGGGCGGCACACACAGGTAACAGTCACCCTCAGCACTAGTAGGCAATGCATACATGGCAGTGAGGATAGCATCATAGTCAAGAGCAAAGATATCCACCCTCTGCCTAAGCAGCTCCAGCCAGCTGGGGAGCTCAGCCGCGTCGCCAAACTCTGTACGCCAGGCGTCGCTCAGACAGGCGAAGCAGCGGGACTGTGTGTGACCAACTGTCCCGCAAGTCTGGCCAACCCGATCACCTGTGCGAATGACATACGGGCAGCGAACAGTACTCCGAGACCCTCTACTCTGAGTGTACCACTCACGAAGCTGCTGGGGCATAAGGGTCTCGCGCGGACGCCGCTGCAGCTGCATCTGGCCACCGCCAGAAACTCCCGACTGACCAGCTCCAGGGCGACTGCCACTACGGCCGCCGCCACAACCCCAACTAGCGTACCACTCACGAAGCTGCTTAGGCGTGAGGGACTCGCACGGACGTTGCTGGAGCTGCATCTGGCCACCGCCAGAAACTCCCCACCGAGCCGCTCCATCAAAACTGCCACTACGGCCGCCGCCACCACTCCCACTGCTGCCACCACCGCCACCACGACTCCCACCGCTACCACGAAGAGACGTCATAGCGGGCAAAGTAAGGAGGTGTGCGACCGGCACGGCAGCACGCAGGGAAGGCAGGGCGACGAGCAGGCACTAGGGTAGGTCGGGGCGGCGCACGGTCAGTGAAGGGCGGCGCGCGGCCAGAGTAGGGCGGCGCGCTGCAAGTAGGGCGGCGCGCGGGCAGAGGAGGGCGCGCGGGCAGGCAAGGGCAGCGCGCGGGCTGCAGATGGCGGCGTGCGGGCTGCCAGGGTGGACGTGACGGGCAGGGGCAGGGCGGAGCACGGGCAGCAGGGCGGCGCGCTGGCCCTAGGGTGACGCGACGGGCAGGGCAGGGGCGGCGCGCGGGCCCTAGGGCGACGCGACGGGCAGGGCAGGGGCGGCGCGCTGGCCCTAGGGGGACGCGACGGGCAGGGCAGGGGCGGCGCGCTGGCCCTAGGGCGACGCGACGGGCAGGGCAGGGGCGGCGCGCGGGCCCTAGGGCGACGCGACGGGCAGGGCAGGGCGGCGCGCTGGCCCTAGGGTGACGCGACGGGCAGGGCAGGGGCGGCGCGCGGGCCCTAGGGCGACGCGACGGGCAGGGCAGGTCGTCGCGCGGGTCCTAGGGCGACGCGACGGGCAGGGCAGGGCGTCGCGCGGGTCCTAGGGCGACGCGGCGGGCAGGGCAGGGCGTCGTGCGGGTCCTAGGGCGACGCGACGGGCAGGGCAGGGCGTCGCGCGGGTCCTAGGGCGACGCGACGGGCAGGGCAGGGCGTCGCGCGGGTCCTAGGGCGACGCGACGGGCAGGGCAGGGCGCCGCGCTGGTCCTAGGGCGACGCGACGGGCAGGGCAGGGCGTCGCGCGGGTCCTAGGGCGACGCAGGGCAGGGCGTGCGCGGGGCAGCGCAACGCAGGGCAGGGCAGAGCGCGCGCTAGGCAGCGCAACGCAGCGCAACGCAGCGCAGGGCAAGGTAGCGCGGCAGCCAGCAGGGCGGCGCACGGGCAGGGTAACGCGACTGGTGGGGCAGCGCGACGAACACGGTAGGGCGCTATGGGTAGGGTAACGCGCTACGGGCAGGGAACGATTCGGTGGGCCCTAAACTAAAAACGGTCCTAGGTCAGGACCTGCTCTGAAACCATGTCAGAATAATGAACGAGATTGAATGAACTAGCAGCAGGATGGGTACAAGTAGGAAACCCTAATTGGGTTGTACCCCTTATGGGCTACCCCACTATAGCCTACACAATAAGCAGCATATAAGTTTGACATTATTCTGTTGTAGTCTCTCTTTTCACTCATTACCCTTTTTCGTCTCTGGTTTTGCAATGATTTTCTATTCACCACCGGACTATCAAATAACGAAATTTTCAGACTTGTCAGGCAGAATTTATCCCAATTACCACCGTACCCAAATTCGTTACTGTTTGCCTATGAATCAATAACAATACAGATACATACTGGATAAAACGACCACATCCGGCATTCAGAAAACGGGATAATGCAACGAATAAAACACAAACATTCATCCCGTAGTCGTAATCAGGCCTCTCGATGTGTTTTGGGGCACCCTGCCACCACAGGGTGCTAGGCGCTGAATACTGAGGAAAATGCAGGATGTTGTTACGAGTGCAATTGATTGAGCGGACTCTCGAAGCAAGAGTACATCGAGCAAATGAAATGAGCGAAGATTATATAGCGAAACGAGAGTGGTAACGGTAACGCGAGAATTTGGGGTGCGCGACGGGCCTCGCGCCGAGGCTGAGAATTGTCGAGGCAGAGGACTCGAGCGCGGGTTACCCGTCAAACCGTGAGGGTTGGGTGCGGTGTGAATAGTGGCGGGAACAGTAGTCAGGGCGTGTGTCGCGTGTGGTAACGGTGCACTGTTGGGTACTGTTGGGGGGAACAGTCATGTACGCGGTAAGGGGGGGCGCGAAGTAAGGAAAAGGAAATTTCCTTACACTACCCCCCTCACCAAGGAGGCTCTCCTTACGAGAGTGCGTGTACATCCCGGAAGTTGCGGCTGCGTAGATACTCGGTGAGGACAGGGTGCTTTTCGATTTTATACAGGGCCACCTATTTGTCTTCGGTGGGCGTGCGGTCTTTCCAGCGAATTAGGAACTCCTGCGAGCTCCACGTGGGTCACGAACTCGGTGGCTCAAGATTATTTCGGGTGTGATGATCGGCTCCGTTGGTGGTCGTGTCAATCTGGCTGGGCGGTTGCGAGGCAGTTGGCTGCTGGACGGGACGTATGGGCGGAGTAAGCTGACGTGAAATGACGGGCTGACATACCAGTCAACAGGGAGGAGGAAGTGGGCGGTGACAGGTGCAATCATGTGGCTGATGCGAAATGGCCCGCAATATCGTGGGCGGAGCTTCGGAGTGATGGGTAGGCGGAAATTTTGGGTGTCGAGTAAAACGAGGTCGTCAGGCTGGTAAGTGACAGGGCGACGGTGGCGATCAGCCTTGCGTTTAGGGATGATGTTGGATTTTTTTATAGCGTCTGCTGCTCGGGTCGGGCGGCCTGAAGAATTTCTGCGAACTGTTGTCCGCGTGGGACTGGGTTGTCGGGATTCGGGGTCATGGGTACTGTGGGGTTCTGTCCGTAGTTAAGGTAAAACGGTGACTGCTGCGTCGTGGCTGACGTGGAGTTGTTGTACGCGAATTCGATGAGTGGCAACTGCTGCTCCCAAGTTGCCGGGTCGTCGCACGTGGCTCGGATTAATTGCTCCATTGTATGATTGGTCCGTTCTGTTTGACCGTCGGTTTCGGGGTGATACGATGAATTGAACTGTAGTCGCATGCTGAACTGCTGCCACAGGTTCCGCCAGAAGTTGCTGGTATCCCGTGCAGTCGAACGACGGTGGAGATGAAGAGTCGGGCTGTTTCTTCGACTGTGATCAATTTCTAGCTGGCTGCAAAATGTGCCATCTTCGTCAGCCGATCAACGACGACCAGGATCGCGTCGTTCCCACTCGCTCCAGCCGGTAACCATGTGATGAAGTCCATCGTCACCTACTGCCAAGCACGCTTTGGGGTTGGTATCGGCTGCAACTGTCCTGCCGGTCGCTGCCATGATGACTTCATAAGCTGGCAAGTGGGACACGATGCCACGTGTCGTTGTACGTCGGTCAGCATTTCGGGCCAGAAGTAATATCGCTGCAGCTGCTTCCGTGTTTTTCCGACCCCAAAATGTCCTGAGGTAACTCCGTCATGTGCCTCCAGTAGTAGTAACTCCCGTAGTAAAGTGTAGCCCGATACCCAAATGCGGTCGGTGCCGGCTTTTACGTAATAAACCCATTTTGCTGCTGCGAACTGCTGCGAGTTTCCTCCTGTGAAGAACGTGTCTGTTTGATATCCATGGGTGAATAGTCCGGTGAGCAGTGCGCTGGTCTGGGTGAGTAGTATCGCGTGTATTTGGGCGGTCGGGTAGGTCAGTGCGTTGGCGATGTTTGAGGCTCCATTTTTTGTAAGTGACAGTGTAGTGGAAGTTTGACTCGAGAAAGTCAAGCCAGCGGATTTGTCGTAGGTTGAGGTGGGGTTGTGCTCGAAGGTACTGTAATGATCGGTGGTCTGTTCGTACTGTCACGTCTGCGCCGGTCAAGTAACAACGCCACACTTTGAAGGCGTGCACTGGTAGAAAGAAGAAGTGTTGGACTAGAAACAAGTGAGAGTACAAATATGAAACCCTAGAGTTGTGAACCCCCTAAAGGCTAACCCACTGTAGCCTACAATAATGTAACACATATAATGTTTGACACACCCCCATAGGCTAAGTGGGGGAGAGCAAGGGGTCACAAGACCAGTCAGAGCAAAGCAAAGCAAAACAAGCTCAGGGTGGATCTCAAGGATACCACACAAATTCCGAGCACAAGCACATGGTCACAAGACCAGTTCACATGCAGTTTGATAATATAACAAGAGGTACAGTGATCACAACCTAGCAAGTGTAAGCATGCAGGTATATATATAGAGATCACAGTACAAGCAGAGTCAAGAAGTGAGCAAGTGAGGGACAGTAGGCACAAGGCCTAGAACAGTACAGAAACGCTGATGATCACAAGGCTGAAGCGCCTTGGTGAACACATCAGCAATGTTGGCCCGAGTGGCCACGTACGAAAGACGAAGCTGACCACGCTGCTGCAGCTCTCGAGCAAGGAAGTAACGCAGAGCGATGTGCTTCGTTCTGTGCTCCAGTCTGTGCTCCTGACACAAGGCAATGGCTGCCTTGTTGTCGACGTACAGCACTGGAGGAGAACGAGGCCGCTCGCCCAGGTCGGTCAGCAGGTAGGTGAGCCAGCGTAACTCCTGTGCAGCCATGGCTGTGGCGTAGATCTCAGCCTCACAACTGGAGCTGAGAACTGAAGACGAGCGAGTAGAACGCCAAGATACTGAACCACAGCCAAGACTGAAGGTGTAACCCTGAGACGACCGCTGCGTAGCCTGGTCGTCAGCCCAAGAAGCGTCTGAGTGCCCAGTGAGGACAACGTCTCTCCGTCCTCCAAGCACAAGCGCCATGCCCGACGTACTGCACAAGTAGCGCAACACCCTCTTAGCGGCATCCATGTGCTCCTTCCGGTGACGGCCAGGAGCGACATAGCGTGCTAGGATGCTAAGAGGGTATGCAAGGTCAGGTCGAGTGCAGGTCATCAGGTACATGAGGCAGCCCACAAGCTCTGGATACAGGCCACTCGGCTCTACGGACTCATCCGAAGGCAGAGCTGAGAGCGAGTGATCGGTAGGCAGAGGAGTGGGCTGAGGCGAGGAGTACGTGAAGCGGAAGCGCTGAAGGACCTGCTGCACCATGTGTGACTGAGTCAAGGTGATGGTGCGCTGTGCTCTGTCCCGGGTGATCCGCAAGCCAAGATAGCTTGTCAGTTCACCCAGGTCTGTGCACGTGTGTCTCTTCTGCAGCTCCGACTTCACGTGGGCGAGTGCCTCAGTGTCAGCAGTAGCAAAGACCAAGTCGTCTACGTACACTAGAACGTAGAACAGCGGCAGAGTGGTGTCGGTGCGTAGAAACAGCGACGGGTCAGCAGTGGAAGGAGCAAACCCAAGAGCAGCAAGAGTAGTCCTCAGTGTGTCGTGCCACTCACGGGGTGCCTGGCGGAGACCGTAGACTGGCCGCCGGAGGCTCCACTGGGTACCAGGAGGGAACGACCCAGTGAAGCCACGTGGGCGACGCAGCCAGATCTCCTCGTGCAGGCTGCCCTGTAGGAACGCAGTGCTGAAGTCAAGAGAGTGGAGCTCGTAGTCACGCTGAGCGGCGACGTGCAGCAGAACCCGAAGAGTGGTCATCTTCGGGGTCGGGGAGAAGGTCTGGAAGAAGTCAACTCCCTCTCGCTGACTGAAGCCTCGTGCAACGTAACGCGCCTTGAAGACAGGCGGAGAACCCGGCGGCCGCTTCACCCTGAAAATCCACATGCCACTGACGATGTTCGCCCCAGGTGGAGGAACCTCGTCGATGTAGGTGCCTGTGGACTTCCAGGAAGCCATCTCTGCGTCCATGGCTGTCTGCCACTGAGAGGAGTAGGGACCCTCCATCGCCTCTGCGTAAGAGCGTGGGGTCGGGATGTCTGGTGCATCCGGGTCTCCCTCAGGGGCAATCAGCATGGACACGAGATGAGGTAAAGCAGCAGCAAAGCACTCAAACTCCTCCTGTCTGTCCTCAAGGACGTCCGTGCCAAGAGCACACTCACCCCCGACGGACGGAGGACAAACAGACTCAGACTCAGCAACAAGGCTAGCGGCGTAGTCTAGACGACAGGCGGCAGCAAAGTCAACAAGCTCAGCGACTAGAGCAGACGCAGCAGAGGACTCAAAGGTAGGGTCAGTGACAACAATAGCGAGGAAACGCGTGACAGTAGGACTGGCAGCACGAGCAAGGTCTGATGGCGGGTCAGCAACGTCAGGAAGAGAGGACGCAGGAGGAGACGGCAGAGGGACACGCTGTGGAGCAGTGGAAGGACGCAAGGTCATATAGTGAGTGCCAAGGACAGGAGGAGGACGCTGACGCGGAGCACGACGACCAGCGCGGACAGCGCGGACAGGCGACTCTAGACGCGACACAGGCGACTCTGGACGAGACTCAGGCGACGGAGGACGAGACTCAGGCTCACGACGCTCCGTAAGACTACCCGTCGGCGCAGTGTAAGGAGAAGGACCAGGCAGCGGAGAGGCAGGCTGTAACTGTGACTGCGACTGGATAGGCGGTGGACTCGGTAGGGGAGGAGTAGGACCAGTAGAGGGCGGGAGACCAAGAACCTACTGAAGGAGCGGAACGTAGTACGGCCGCGGCCGCTCAGCACCTCCAGCTCCAACCCCCTCAGCAGCTCCAGTCCCAGCATTTCCAGTACCTCCAGTACGAGCACCTCCAGGACCAGCGGCTCCAGCAGCTCCAGCACCAGCAGCACCACCAGCAGCACCAGCACCTCCAGCAGCTCCAGCAACACCGCCAGCAGCAGCAGTGCCTCCAGCAGCTCCAGCACCAGTAGCACCTCCAGCAGTTCCAGCAGTACCAGCACCAGCAGCACCTCCAGCAGCTCCAGCAGCACCTCCAGCAGCTCTAGCAGCACCAGCACCAGCAGCACCTCCAGCAGCGCCAGCAGCACCGCCAGCAGCAGCAGCACCTCCAGCAGCTCCAGCAGCACCAGCACCAGCAGCACCTCCAGCAGCGCCAGCAGCACCGCCAGCAGCAACAGCACCTCTAGCAGCTCCAGCAGCACCAGCACCAGCAGCACCTCCAGCAGCGCCAGCAGCACCGCCAGCAGCAGGGTCCGTGACACTAGTAGCACCACTCCGGAGAGTGCAGCGCCGAGCGTACCACTCTCGGAGCCGCTGGGGAGAGGGCAGCTCCCGCCTAGGAGGGGAAGCACGAGCACCAGCTCCAGCAGCACCTCTAGCTCCAGAAGCACCTCTCCTGAGGCTGCAGTACTGTAAGTACCACTCACGTAGCTGCAGTGAGGAGAGAGCGCCTCCAGGTGTAGCACGCTCAGTCGCAGCACCCTCTGGCTCAGTACCCTCAGACGTAGCACTCCCAGGCTCAGCACCCCTAGACTCCGCACCCCCAAGCTCAGCACCCCCAGACTCCGCAACCCCAGGCTCCGCACCCCCAGGCTCCGCACCCCCAAGGCTCCGCACGCTCAGGCTCAGCACCCCTAGCAGGACGAGAGTCGACAGCTACCTCGACAGGCTCAACCGGGTCTACCTGGGACACACCTGAGGGAGCGGCACCCTGAGGGGGAAGGGGGTCTACCACAGCAGCACCTGGCGCGAGGAAGAGAGGCGGGGGGGGGAGCGGGGCAGTGCGGTAGGGGAAGAGGCGGTAGTAGGACACCGACTCGTCAAAAGTGACGTCCTGAGAGGGCAGGACACGGCGCGAGGTGGCGTGGTAAAACTGCCAACCAGACGCGTCCGGGACAAAGCCAAGAAAGACACAAGGAACAGCGCGGGAGGAGAGCTTGTCCGCGGACGTATCGCGGACAAAAGCTTGAGATCCCCAGACCCGGAAACGCGACGCATCGCCAACCTTCCCCGTCCACAGCAGTGTGGGCGAGGTCTCCGGCAAGGAGACACGGGGCCAGAGCGCAGCGTACCGGACCGCAAACGGCCACAGAAAGTGGGGGGCAGCCGCATGGATCAAGGAGGTACGAGCAACCTCCATGACCAAGCCAATGCGGCGCTCAGCAACCCCATTCTGCTGTGGAGAGGCCGGAAGCGTGAACGCCTGCTCAATGCCCTCCCCCTGACAGAAGGCCCTCAAGAGGTCGGAGGAAAACTCCCCACCTCTGTCAGAGTGCAGACGCAGGACAGGAAAGTCCGAGTGGAACCTCTCGCTGAGCTGGAGACGGGCAGCGCGGATCCAAGGGATCAAAACATCAGGGACTTCACCCTTGGTGCGCAAGGGGAAGACCGTGGTGTAGCGCGAGTAGTCGTCAACAACTATCAAGAAGTACCTCTCCTGACCCTGTCCACGGACGCGGGCTGGGCCCCACACGTCCATGTGGAGCGTCTGCAGGGGAGCAGTCGTCGGGGGAAACGAGGAGGAGTGAGGAGCGGCGCGCTGCCGCCCCTCGACACAGGGAAGACAAGGAGGAGCAGGCGAGGCTGGGAGGGGAGGGAGAACTCTGGGAAGACCAGAGACAAGGTACCGTTTGTGCATGCCACGAAGGCGCTGCATGAACGGGTGACCAAGGCGGTGGTGCCAGAGGACGGTCTCGTGCGCCGGAGAGCGACACGAGCAGGGGGCCGACAGCTGACCTGACGCAGACGCAGATGCAGCTACCTGAGGGGACTCAGTGGTCAGTGTGTACAGGTCCGACCCCGGCTGCCGAGTGAAGGTAGCCAGGTGACGGCCCGTCCGAGCACACGTGCAGTGTGTCACGCGCTCGTAGGCAGGGGTGAACTAGTGGACACCCCCGTCCTGGAGCGCACAACCCGCCACCAAGTTCGTAGAGAACGAGGGGAGGTGGAGACCTGACAGTGTGCCCGACGGAACCGCAGGACAAGGGAGGACAGTGGAGGAGGTCGCAATGACCGGACCCCCAGAGGGGTCAGCGAGGGACACAGCAACTGGCCGAGCAAGCTGCTCAAGGGCAGTGCGGTCACGAAAGAAACAGCGAGAAGCACCTGAGTCCAGTGTAAAGGTGTGTAGTGCCTCAGTAGACGCAGTACCAGAGGGCGCAGACTCACAAGCACCTAGAGTAGCAGCCTCACCAGCACCTGGGGCAGCAGACACGCAAGCACCTGGAGCGGCAGCCTCACCAGCACCTAGGGCAACAGACGCGCTAGCACCTAGAGCGGCAGCCTCAGTGGTCCGAATGCCCGGATCGGGCGGAACACGCAGGTACTGGGCACTCTCTCCACTAGTAGACAACACATACATGGCAGTGAGGATAGCATCAAAGTCAAGAGCATAGATATCAATGTTCTTCTTCATCAGATCAGCCCAGCGTGGCAGCTCAGTGGCAGCAAGAAACTGAGTGCGCCAGGCGTCGTCAAGGCGGGAGAAGCAGCGCTGCGTGGTGTGCGCCCTCCCACACGTCTGGCCAGTGCGGTCACCAGTGCGGATGACGTACATGCAGCTAAGGCCACCCCCCCCCCCGTGCTGAGAGTACCACTCACGAAGCTCCTGGGACGACGGAGTCTGCTGTGGGCTCTGGCCACCGCCAGCGCCTCCACGACCTCCTCCTCCGCCGCCACCACCGCGACCACCACCGCCCCTGCCGCCACCGCGTCCACTGCCACCACCACCACCGCCCCCACCCCGGCCACCTCCTCCGACGCTGCCGCCACCACCCCCACTGCTGCCACTAGCCCCTCCAGCCCCGCCACCACCCCAACCGCCGCCACCGCCCCCACCACCGCCTCCCCCGCCGTCACCTCCACCTCCCTTGCCCCCTTTGCCCTTGCCGCTGCGGCGCCAGCTCGGAGCGGACGCAGTCCCGACCTGCTCAATACCAACGAGGTCGACAGCAGCAGCAGAGGCGACAGAGGGGAGAAGGGGGGAAGGGGAACACCCCTCGAAGAAAGGGGTGCGGGGGTCGCCACGAGAGGCACCTACAGCGACTATGCTAGTCTCAGCTGCAAGCAGTTCCTTCTCGAGCAGATCAACGGTGAGCTCAGTGGGGCAGCGAGCGAGGAAGTGGTCCCTGACCGCACGAAGAGAGTCAGGGAGACGGGTGACCAGGTGGTAGAGAGTGAGCCAGAGCGGGGGGGGGTGCGTGGCAAGAAACTCAGCGGGCATAGCGGCACGGAAGCGGGCCTCACTAGTGCGGAGGTGCGTGATGAGGTCAGCGACTGTGGAGAAAGCGGACAGGTCGGGGAACAGGTAGGGGAGCGAGAGACGGCCTAGCGCAGCAGAGGCAGGTGAGGAGTAGCGTGCCACTACAGCAGTGTACAGTGCCTGCGCTGTTTTGTGCTGGCCAAAGTGCTCACGCTCATCGATCGGCAGGGAGTTGCGAATAGCGAAGCGTGTGTGGGCGTCACGAGTCTGCCACTGTGAACGGGCAGTACTGTCAGCAGTAGCAGCAGGGGCAGCAGCATGGCCTAGCGCGTGATCGTACAGTGAGATATCCTCCTTGGCAGTGAGCTGGAGGAATAGGTGCAGGTCATCGATCCAGGTCTCAAACTTCAGTGGGCGGCCCTCAGCATCGAAAGCTAGCACAGCAGGGCTAGCCATAGTTGCAGTAGCAGCAGTAGTAGTAGCTGCAGTAGCAGTAGCAGTAGTAGTAGTAGCTGTAGCAGTAGTAGCAGTAGCAGTAGTTGGTGGGGCACAGTAGAGCGGCGTGGCGCGGTTCGGGCGGCGCGGCTCGGTTCGGGCAGCGCGGCTCGGTTCGGGCGGCTCGGCTCGTTCGTGGGTGGGTGTAGCGGGCGGGTCGCGGCTGTGGGTGGGCTGCAGTTGCGCGCGGGCGGCGGCCTACACGGGTGACGCGGCGGCCTACACGGGTGACGCGGCGGCCGACGGGCGGGGCTGCTACGCTCTGGACGGCCAGGAGGGCCAGTCGACGGGCGGCTAGCGGGCTGCTCGTGGGCGGCGCTGGTCGTGCGGGCCGCTAACGTGCGACGCGCGCGCAGAAAAGGCCGCGCGCGGGCTGCTAGCGGGCTACGCGCGCTAAGAAAAAAGGGGCCGCGCGCGGCACTAGCGAGCTGCGCACGGGCAGCAGGAGAGAGAGAGGCGCACGAGGGCGCACTAGGAGAGAGGCGCTCGAGGGCGCTAATGCATTAAGGCGCTCGAGGGCGCTTCTAGCGGAACGGTGGGCCCGTAGGTAAGCGATCCTAGGTCTAAACCTACGCTCTGATACCATGTTAGAAAGAAGAAGTGTTGGACTAGAAACAAGTGAGAGTACAAATATGAAACCCTAGAGTTGTGATCCCCCTAAAGGCTAACCCACTGTAGCCTACAATAATGTAACACATATAATGTTTGACATGCACGATTGCGAGCATTTTGCGGTCGTGTATTGGGTAATTCTTCTCGGGCGGGTGCAGTTTTCGTGTCTCGTATGCGATGGGTTGTAATCCGTTGCCGAAGTACTGTAGCAGTACGGCTACAATGGCTATGTCGCTGGCGTCGGTAACCACTTCAAATGGGCGGTGTGGGTCGACGATGCGGAGCACGGGCGGTGAACAGAG